GATCAATATTTGTTTATAGTTCCCCTTGTCCATGATAATTTGTAATTGCCGCCAGAGTGACTAAAACAGGAAATTACTACTAGAAATTGTCAGTGGGAATTAGTGAACCCCTCATCATGGGATTTGTGCCCTTGTAGGGAGTAACTAGGAGTTTGCTTTCTTTCTGTCTACTTATGAGGACACAACAAGAAGATGGCCATCTGCAAACGAGGAAGCAGGCCCTTTCCAGGTGCTCAATAGACAGATACTTCCATCTTGGACTTCCCAGCCTCCAGAAATCTGAGAATAATTGCTTTATTTTGCTCATCTCACACTGCCCAAGGTAATTTGTTGCAGCAGCTTGAACTAAGGCTTGCTCTCAAGCTGTGATAAGCAGAAATGAGTTCAGACATTGCCAACTGTCCCCTGGAGAGGAATTTTGTGCTCCAGGTGCTCAATAGACAGATAGTTCCATCTTGGACTTCCCAGCCTCCAGAAATCTGAGAATAATTGCTTTATTTTGCTCATCTCACACTGCCCAAGGTAATTTGTTGCAGCAGCTTGAACTAAGGCTTGCTCTCAAGCTGTGATAAGCAGAAATGAGTTCAGACATTGCCAACTGTCCCCTGGAGAGGAATTTTGTGCCCAGATAGAAACCATAGTTCTATGTGCAGTGGGCTATTTTACCACATGTTGAGAATACATGGAACAATGCCAAAAGGGGTTTGTCTTTTATCTAAATTCCTCATTTGCTCTATATTTTATTGTGTAAACTCTATCTTTCACATTTTCAAAGTTCATTTATTATATATTTTGACATGCAAATCTTCCTGCCATTGTTTTGGTTATAATCACTCAAGCTTCTGTTTTCTCTTCTGCTCCCATTGGCATTGCTGCCAGGATAAGCTTCACAGACCTTACTTTGCAATAATCTTCTTCATGATCTGTTTCTAGATTATATTCACCCTTATTTCTTGCCATTCTCCATAGATAACTCCTGCTCCTCATTATGCACAACAAACTAATATTCCTAAATCTATTATTATTTTTTAGAGGTTTTTACCTTAGGGCACATGCACTCACCATAGAGGGAGAGAGACAGAGATAGAAGGAAAGTGAGAAATCACTCCCCAGGTGGATGACCATGCCACAGTCCCTTCTCTTCTATCCTCCTCCTGGGATTTTAGGCATGCACACACACACACCAGGGGTGAGTTTTAAGCTGCTGAGTCTGGGACTTGACCCATGGTCAGTCATGTGGGAGTCCAGCAATGTAACCGCTATACCATCTACTGGTCTCCACAACTCTGTTCTTAATTGAGAATACATGGAACAATGCCAAAAGGGGTTTGTCTTTTATCTAAATTCCTCATTTGCTCTATATTTTATTGTGTAAACTCTATCTTTCACATTTTCATTTATTATATATTTTGACATGCAAATCTTCCTGCCATTGTTTTGGTTATAATCACTCAAGCTTCTGTTTTCTCTTCTGCTCCCATTGGCATTGCTGCCAGGATAAGCTTCACAGACCTTACTTTGCAATAATCTTCTTCATGATCTGTTTCTAGATTATATTCACCCTTATTTCTTGCCATTCTCCATAGATAACTCCTGCTCCTCATTATGCACAACAAACTAATATTCCTAAATCTATTATTATTTTTTAGAGGTTTTTACCTTAGGGCACATGCACTCACCATAGAGGGAGAGAGACAGAGATAGAAGGAAAGTGAGAAATCACTCCCCAGGTGGATGACCATGCCACAGTCCCTTCTCTTCTATCCTCCTCCTGGGATTTTAGGCATGCACACACACACACCAGGGGTGAGTTTTAAGCTGCTGAGTCTGGGACTTGACCCATGGTCAATCATGTGGGAGTCCAGCAATGTAACCGCTATTCCATCTACTGGTCTCCACAACTCTGTTCTTAAACTCACTAGTATCCAGCCTAAATGCTGAGCATCAGTTTAGTCTTTCTCAGTTCACTCTCTCCATAAACTTTTGGAAACATTCTCTATACATACCTCCATCAGACCATTATCACCTTTACCACAGAGTTATTTTTATTTTTGCATGTCATCTGGGCTGAGACATAGTGCCCAGATATTTGGGCAAACATTATTCTGGATTGTTCTGTGAACTTTTTTTGGGTGACACTCTTGTTTAAAACAGTAGAATTTAAGGGACCACCAGTTAGCGTAATGGCTAGTCGTTGGACTCCCACCTAGTCGACTGCGGTTTGCATCCCGAACCCGGTGGCTTAAAACTCACGCCGGGCGTGTGTGCGTGTGTGCCCAGGATCCCGAGAAGAGAATGGAGAAGGGATTGTGGCGTGACCATCCCCCCTGGGGGGTGATTTCTCGCTTTCTGTCTCTCTCTGTCTGTCTGGCGAGCGCACGCGCCCTATAGCAAAAACCTCTAAAAAAAAAAAAAAAAAGTAGACTTTAAGTAAGGCAGGTTATGCTCCATAATGTATATATTTGCCTCAGCCCATTTGTTGTAGGCCTTACGAGAAGAAAGACTGACCTTCTCCCCCAAAGCAAGGAGCAATTCAAACAGCAGATTGCTTTGGACTGCAGCTGGAACTCTTCCCTGGGTCTCCAGACTGCCTGCCTACTTTGTAGATTTTAGAGTAGCACCTTTGTAATTATGTGAGTCTATTCTTTAAAATAAATCTCTATCTATCTGAATATCTACACACAAAAGGACCTTAAAATATTTGTAAAAAATACAAGATTAATTTGATGCAAAATATGTAAAATTTATGGATAGTTTTTTCTCAATAGGCATTTTCAATTAATTTTTAGAAGTCTCCCTCCCCTCCAATACAAACACACCACATTGGTTCTACTTCTGTGGAGAATCCTAATACACAACATGTATTTTTTTTCTCAAGTCTATTTCTTCCCTGAAGTGGAAGCTACTCTATGTGTGTGTGTGTACATACATGTATGTGACTAATCCCTTGCCATGATAAATATTACAATATTGTCATATGATAATTATCTAAAGCGTTACTTTAAAAATGATTATATCTCTTATCTTCTTTAATTACAGAGTAGTGGTCAGCAGGTCACATATTGGTTAGGGCACTAGACTCCCACATGGTTGACCACGATTTGAGTCCCAGACCTGGCCTCTTGTTTTCTCACTTTCCCTTTCTCTTTCTCTCTCATAAAATTAAAAAACAATCATAATAGTAATAAACAAAACAAATATTATTTTAATTTACCAAATACATTATTAGTATAAAGCTTTAATCTTAAAAAGAAATCTTACTAAGTTTTATTCATATTTTCACATCAGCTAATATTATAGCTATCTTGATTCCCTGAACACTAGATGTTTTTGATAAAGAATGCCTTACACACCACTTACGGTGCTATATTTCTAAAGTATTTAGACAAATTATGCTTATGGTTATGAGTCAAAATTTTCATTAAAAATGTGACATTGAATGGAGTACTAATACATAATAGGATTTCCTGTGGTTGAGTTACTCAACTCATGTTAATTAGAGACCTATTTCTCTAACTGGATTTATGAAATTATTCTGTATACTTTGTTTATCCTGCTTCTTCAAGCAATGTCTATCTCTTACTCTTAGTGTGACAATATAGAGTTTTTGTTTTTACAGAAAGAGCAGAATTTGTAAATATACATATTTGTGCATGGAAAATTGCTTCTCTGTGCACAGATGATAAGGACATCTTAAAAATGAAAACGATCATGCATAGAGAAAAGGAAATTGGAAGCTTTTACAAATATTACATAGACATTAGAGGAATATTCAGTATATTAGCTACTGTTAAAATGGATGAATACCAAAGAGAGTAAGAACAGGCTTTTCTGGTGGGCCATCTGTGGTGCAGCAGTGCAACACTGCACTCTTAAGAGGCAGTCCTACTGGGAGAGTTTCCAGTTCAAGACTGGAGACCTCTCTGAGTGTGCCACACACACACTAGCCTGTGATCTGGGGTGATCTGAAATATGAGGATGAATCATAGTATCAGGACCCTTTCTTTCTTGCTTATGGAAGAAATAAATGAATAAACTTAAAAAAATAAGGACTTCATCGAAAAAAATAGACACATTTTGTAAAGATTTCAAACTTTATTGAGGCTCGGGATTTCTAAGGTGTAAATATAATGTAACTAAAGAGTATTACACATTTATGCAAATGAGACCAAAAAAAGTATTCTGATTATGCAAGAAGTTTTAATTATCTCTACTAAAATAATAAAGTATTTTTAGTGAACACTTATTATGTGCTTGGCTTTATGCTAATTCCTTCCTTTCATTCTAAGTTAATTCCATCAGCATATTTAGGTAGCTTTATTTTGCCTTCTTCATATATTAGGCTTCTGAGATTCAGTTTGGCTGAAAGACCGTGTGCATTCACTCAGCTCCCAGAGAGAGAAACCACAATATCTACACTGTCTTCCTGTCGTCAGAGGCCAGTGTCTATGCCAGAACACTGGGCCATCTTGGACAAGTTAGCATGTGCTCAGTGGCTTATATACACTGCAATATGCATCCTCATGATAACTCTGAGAAATAGGTATTCTTTTTCCTCTTTCACACCTAAAAATACATGATTTCCTATAACAACACTGCGAGTGTGACCAGAGAAACCAGGAGTCAGAGGTGAGTTTTATGCCCATAACTTCACCTTTTATTCTGTATTTCTTCTTCCTATCACCAAGAGATCAAATATACTCTCATTTAGGACTAGCTGTTTCTATACAAACTTCCATAGTCAAATCCTCACCATTAAGGCAAGTAGAAAAATCAATCTCTATGGTCAACAACACATTTATGGAGATAGCCATATATATTCTTAATTTGACAGAAGTCCATCTGCTAAGTTAGTTAAAGGATCAACAAATATAATTCCATTATATCAGTATAAAAGCAACATGAAAATATAACATTTTAAGTACGATTTTATTTATGCTAAAATAGTAAGGGAGGCAATAAAAATCTTTCTGCATCTAAAGGATTGAAGCATACCATACCTTACTAAGCTGTTAGCGCTATCAGGATCTTGTGCCAAAACTGTGCCAACAATGGTCCCGACCTTGGCATTTTCATAGACTTCCATGACATAGGAAGGCATGGAAAATAACGGAGGCTCATCTACATCCCCCACAATGATCTTCAGCATGGTGGCATCTTTAAAAGGACCCAAGTGAGAAAAGCGAAAATCAAGATGTGTATTTGCTCCTTCTATGTTGAGGGTATATGACTTCTTTTTCTCATAGTTCAGTGGCTGGAAGGAAAAAAGATTTTGAATATTGTGAATTCCATTATTTTTCAAACAAAATGTTCTTTCTGCATTTTTGAAGAAACAACTGGGGTAGAGTTTAATCATCATAGATTTATTTTAAAATGATCCCTTAGGACAGTGGATGATATAGAATTTAAGATGCTGCGAGACCAGTAGTAGATAGTGGAATGGTTATATTCTGAACTCCCATGTAGTTGACCATGGTTTGAGTCCTGGACCCGGTGACTTAAAACTCACACCGGGCGCATGTGCGTACGTGTCCGAAATCCCAAGAGGAGAATGAAGGAGAAGAGATTGCAGTATGGCCATCCTCCAGGAGGGTGATTTCTTATTTTCTGTCTCTCTGTATTTTCAACAGGTACATGCACCCTATAGCAAAAATCTCTTAAAAAAATACAGAGATGCTGGATCCTACATGGTTGACTCCATGGTTCAAGTCCCAGTTCCAGAGGGGCTTGGGTGCATGTGCATATGTGCACAAAATCCCAAGAGGAGAATGGAGGAGAAGGAATTGCAGTGTTGCTCTTCAGGGGGATATTCCTCACTTTCCTCCTTTTCTCTATCTCTATCTGTCTTGTTCTGGCAAGTGCATGTATCTTAATGCAAAAAAGATAGAAAGAAAAATTTAAATTATTTTTAAGATACTCCCTACAGGCAAACAAATATTCCTTTATGGAGACTCTTGTGCTTATTCTCCTCTAGTAACTCTCTATTTCCTCTTCATCTTACATTAATTAATCTTGAAAACATCTACTATTATTTTTTAAGCTTTTTGACATAAATGTGTACACTCGTTGGAGAGAGAAAAGGAGAGACAAAGAAAGGGACCCTCATGGGGGATGGGCATGTTATAATCCCTTCTCCTCCATTATCCTCTTATGATTTTGGGCATGCATATATACACTCCCAGAGAAATTTGGGAGGAGCCAGGTCCAGGAGTCTAGTTGATGCTAACCATGTGGAAGGCCAGTGCATTTACCACACTGCCTGCTGGCCCCTAAATTCTTAAAAGTTTTAAAATAAAATGGAACTGTTTACATTCATGTAATGTAAAAATATGAAAAAATATATGTATGTATATATGTCATCTTATATTCACTTTGCTGATTTAAAATCGGTGTCTTGTTTTAAAGTCTGACTCACTTTTAGGTTTTTAAGTCAACAATATTTTATTGATTTTCAGTAAAAAGTTTTTATATAAAAATTTTATGTGTGTTGGTTTGGTTCTATTTATTTGTCACTTTTGCTGGTTACACCATTTAATTTATTTGTTTTAATTCTTTTCCTTTGTTATATTCTGATGTTTGGATAAATTTTTTTTTTTTTTTTTTAAATAGCCTTCTATGGGCCAGCAGGAGGCATGGAAGTTAAAGCACTGGATCCCACATGGTCAGCTTTGCAGCTTGAGTCCTGAATCTGGAGTCTTAAGAATCATGGCAGCTGTGTGTGCATGCCTAAAATCCTGAGAGGAGAATGGGAATGGAAGGCAAGGGATTGCAGTGTGGTCATCCCTCCTGGGGGATGATTTCTCACTTTCCTTCTTTCTATCTTTCTGCCTCTTTTTTTTTTTTTCTTATATTTCCATGGTCCAACTAATATTTACTAATCCTCTGTTAATAATTTTCTTCACTAATATGTCAGGTATCATAAATGTGTCTTACCACACAATAATAAGTTCAGCTTGTGTTTTGTCCCGGAGCACATACGATCTATTATAGGCTATAAAATGTTGAACAGACACTTTTAGCACTTTGTATTGAATGCTGAAAGACATATTGGCTATTATGTGCATTTATAATAAGGATATGATTTTGAATACGGAGATGGATGTGAGTATCTGGGTAATAGTTCTAGTATTTAGAAGAAGTGTGAGTAATATTTGTACGAATGTATGAAAAATATTTCAATGACTATTTTTATGAAGAAGAATCTGAACTGAAAGCATTAGACTTGTATATGATAGGCTCTGGGAGCCAAAATGAACCCAGGTTTAAGTTTCACTATGTCAGAAGTTTTCTTAGTCGGCTTACTGCGAGTCATCCTGCCTCTGATTTTTGAACCTGTGAAGAATCCACAGATGTTGATCTCTCTGATAAATATCTGTGACAAGAAGCAAAAGAGAGATTTTTCATCCTTATTTCTGCCACTGAGTTTCTGCCAGCCTGCGTCAGTCTCACGACCCTTTTTCTTGGTAGGATCAGAGAACAGTCATTCCCTGTGGAGGAGCTCAGATATTTTCCTTTACCCTAAGAACTGGTGTCTTAGTTTGGGATGCTATAATAGAATGCCACTGGCTGAGTGACTTAAACAGCAAACGTTTATTTTTTACAGTTCTGGAGGCTAAGAAGTCTAAGATCAAGGCATTGGCAGATCCAGTGCCTGGTAGGGTCCTCTTCCTGGTTTGCAGAAAGCCTACTTATTGCTGCATCCTCACAAAGCTTACAGAAATAGTCTTTTGCATGTCTTCTCTAAACAATGCGCAAATTCTATATGTGAGGGTACAAACTCTTACTATCTATTGTATCTCCCAAAGAGCCCACTTTCAAGTACAATCACACTTGGCATTCGGCTTTGACATATGAATGTGGGGTAAGGCAGCATTCCCATTCAGGAATATAGCAACCAAGGAAAAGTTAATTAGACAGAGTGTCCTTACTGGGGTCTTATAAATGAAATAACCGATCTTATTGATGATTGCCCTCATTTCTTCTGAATTTCCTTGGAAAATTGGCCTTGAGATTGCATAGAAGGAAACAAAGATTTTCATTTTTAAATCAAGTATTAGGAATTTAGGACCCAGAAATTTTCTAGCATTTCAGGGATGTGAATAAGGCTGGACCACTACAATATTCTACCAGATTTTATAAGTAAATTTAAAAATGAAAAAGAATCTTTAGATTCAAAATCTCAAAAGTGGACCATATACATAATTTCAAAATCTCAAAAATGGAACATATATTTAATACATATACACATATATATGATACAAATGTTATATGTTTTAGATTTATATATTTTTTAAGGGTTTATAAATTCTGCTGTGTATGACTCACCGGTTGGGATCTATTTTCTTCTGGAGATATCTAAACTAGAAATGAATCGACAAAATAATTAATATTCTTCTTGTCTGAAGAGTTGCATAACTCTTAGCTGGATCCGAAGATGGTACTTTTTCTCTGGATTCCTCTCCACTTAATATGTGATATTCTGTCTTGGCTTAATTTAATAATAAACTTCACCCAAATTAAATGAGCTGTTCTAGAAAAGGTACACACTTTCTGCATATCAAGAAATGGGCAAATGGACACAGCCCCTCTTTGCTTTTACAAACTGGACTGCAGAATCCAGGCATATTGCTCATAGCAGAAAGCCCAACTGGTTTATCATTTGTCTAAGATCAATGTATACAAGTTTTAAAGTCTGTCTTCTGTATCTGGTAAGCTTTACAATGACTAAATATGGGTGTCCAAAACTTTAAAACTAAAAAATAAAGATATATTCTCTTTTTTTAAGTAATTGTTTGTTAAATTTTATTTATTATTATTATTTGTTTAATTTGACCAGAGAGAGAGAGTAAAAATGAGAAAGCAAGCCTATAGGTCTGGGACTTGAACCGCAGTCATCTGTGTGAGAGTCTAGTGCCTTAACCACCATGACACCTGCCAGCCTCAAAACATATTTTCATTATTAGGGATACTTAATGTTCCCACTAATAATAATATTAGGATATAAACACATTCATCTTTGTTTATTTATGGTAAGCTTTTAAATCTTTCTGACCTAGCAAACTTTGAAGATATTTGGCCCCTTCTAGTCTTATCTGATGTGGTCATCATCAAGCTATGCATCCCAGGATGACAGATATCTCTTTCTTTATTTTTTAAACAGGTCTCCTGGCAAGTTAGATGTCATTTGTGTTAACATAAACCTACCTACTGCTAAGGTAAAGGCTGTTTATGTGGACACAAGTCTTTGTGTTGATGATCATCTAATATATATTTAACTATTCCGGGCCAGGGATAATCATTTGGAAGGACTCATTTGCCAGAACTAGCAGATGGATGGATGGGGACCCATCTGGAGCCACAAAGCAATGAGAGGATTATTTCACGTGGGGACAGGAATTTAAAAGCAGTTGAATTAATGCACAGGGAAATATTTTAACAACCTTATTTATGAAGAGAAATTGGTCAGGTTGAATTGCAAATATAGAAATACTGGGAGGAAATTCTACTCGTTCTTTATTTTTGAATCTTTCAGGACTGTTTCTAATACAAGGTATGTTATACTTAGTCTTTTATTATATTGAGACGGTATATAAAGATGGTATTGGATTTATAATGATTATTTTCCTATTTTCTGTCACTTTAACAAAACTGCCCAAATAACCATCATCCACACGTTTTAAGTAGGTCTTCTAGAATTTTCTAGTAAACTTCTGCTCCTGAGACACTATTTTTCTGGAACTTCACTTTTCTTAGTTACCACCATTTTTTTGCTTTTTGCTTTTCTTAAATTTCTTTTTTTGATAGAGTTTTATCATATTCTCATCTTCCTGCCTGAGTCTCCCAGGCAGCTGGGTCTACGGGTATATGCTACCTCACCAGGCTTTTAGGGAAGGCTGGAAACAAACTCAGGCCTCCTATGAAGCCTATCTAGTAATAGAGCCAACCAGTTTGTGGTACTATGGCTTGGCTAATAGAATATATTTTTAATCTAAAAATAATCCATTATAAACAGCATACCAGAAATAGTGAAATCCTAGTTTTGATGAGTATGAAGAATAGGGGCATGGCGGTTTCCAGCCTATGGCAAAAACCTATGGAGGCTAGAGGATGAGTATGAAGAATAAATAAATAAATAAATAAAAACTTAAAAAAATAAATAAAATTGCAATCTACCCAAACAACTAAGATATCACAGAAAGTCTAACATGAAATATCTGGCCAAGAGTTTATAAAAACAAAACATAATTTTTCAGC